CCACAACACCCGGCTATTTTTTGGTTGTAGTTTTCATTATTGTTCGGCAGGCTTGGGCTGGATTTGAACCTACCAGCTCTGGTGTATGTGGCTGGCACCTTAGCCACTTGAGCCAAAGGCACCGAGCCAGCATAGATTTTTGAATCAGAAAGTTCAGAGATGAATGTTATTCACTCCACTTACACTTGAGGACTGAGCACATCACTTAATCGTTCTGGGCCTCATTTTCACTGTCTAGAGCGATGTTTTTCCACCTTTCTTATCTCATGACACACTTGAACCTGTAGTTAAACTTCTCCAGCACACTTAAATTATTCTACTTAGAACTTCTTTCAAAAATAATTTAATTAATGGTCTTTAAAAATTTTTGCAGCACACCTAAGAGCCTCTCACAGCATGCCAGTTCAAAATTACTGGCCTATGGGAATAATAACAATGCCCATTTATTATGAAGATACAACTAATTATACATGTAAAGTATTTTATAAACTCCTACAATTTTAGATATTGTTGGCATTTCTGACTTCGGAGTCACATATCTAAGTCAGTCCTCCTATGTACATGAAATAAAAAGACTTCCCATTCTTGTTGGAGCTATGGTGAAGAAGATGGACTTATGTTTTAAAAAGTATTTAGTCTGATACTTAAATCCGATCAGTCTAATCCCCCAAACAGTGCTCCTTCCAGCTTCCCTGTGTACACCACTGTGTGCCAGGGCATTCAACTTGAGAGAGCTGGGTTCTGGTATCTGCCCTCCCTTTCAGCCTTGTGGTTGGGGAACCTGGGGCCTTATGGAAACCTGTGGTCTTCCTGGTTCTTAAATTTGCCTTTTTATTGAATCCAAATTTTACATAACAAATCCTTTTATTAAAGGGGTTGTAGCAGAGAAAGATGAAGCTTAATTTTGCCTCTTTCAGTGTTTAAAAAAGAATGAATGATCTTGAGATCTTGAAATCAGAAGGCCAGGGGTCTTGACTCGAGTGACTGAGTGGTGTTAAATTGTAACATGATTCTCAGTAACTATTAGAGTAGTAACGTTAGTACTATATGGTTTAGCTTCTGCTTTTAGGATTTTATTGTGGTTAGGGAGAGTTCTGATTTAGGAGGCTGACTAAAATAACCCCAGTTATTCTGAAATCTTTCCCAATAACCTTTTATGAACAGCCAGGGGCACAGTATTACCTTTAAAATGGAAACTTACAGCTTCAGGCATTTTGGTGAGTTTTTTCCTTTCTTTCTTTTGTGTGACTAATCAAGCCAAATAAGATGCAAAACAATTTTCTATAGTATCTGATTAAGTTTGCAAGCATCGTGTAAAGCAGGTCAGCATGATTAAAGCCGACCTCCTGATAAGAGTATTTGTACAGCCACTTTACTTCCGTCTTCTAGTCCTTGCCCAGGTAGAATTCTCTTAGGCTTCTGGCTGTTCTTCTAAAACTTTTCTCATATGGGCGGTACCGTTATTGGCTACCACATTTATGAGTAGCAGCTTTGTGCTAGCAGTGACATTCTTTTCATCCCATTTAGTCTTGAATGTGGCCTGACAGGGTAGATAGCATTGAAGTCTTCACAAACAAATAAGCCTTAGTTTACTCATGGTATTCTTTCTAGCTGTGCTTTTGTTTTTAAAAAGTTTTATTGAGGTATAATTAACATAAAATGAAGTATACATATTTAACTTGAACAGTTAATGTTTTGACATGTGTATACACCATTGAAGCTGTCACCACACTCAAGATAATGAATGCGTCTGTTACCTTCAGAAGTGTCCTCCTGCCCTTTTGTGACATCTGTTTCCTATCCCCAGTCTGTCACTACTCTTCTCTGGTCTGGCATTTTCACTCTACATGATGATGATGATGATGATGGCTTTTTCACTCTGCTTTGATGATGATGGTGGTGATGACGATGATGATTTGGGAGACAGAGTCTCAAGCTGTAGCCCTAAGTAGACTGCCGTGGTGTCACAGCTCACAGCAACCTCAAATTCCTGGGCTTAAGTGATTCTCTTGCCTCAGCCTCCCAGGTAGCTGGG